TCAAAAATATCCATACATGTCAAAATCTTAGTTACTTAATTTGTTGCCTCCTAATCAATTAGATGTATCATTTAAATGAATTGATTACCTTCTAATCTTGTCATGTTAAATTTCTTTGATAAAACAATTTATTTTGGTGAGAGTAAGACTACAAATTTTGTTTCTGCCAACCAAATTAACTCTGTTTTGAAACAAAATGAAAAGATATACATGATGCTCGCTTTAGTGAAAGAGAAAACAACTTAAGTGAGCTTCCTATACTAAAAGAGTTTCATGAAGTATTTCCAGTATATGTAACTAGTTTACCACATGATGAGAGAGACTGAGTTTATCATAGATTACTTAGTATTGTCCCTATATCTATGACACCCTACAGGATATCCACTAATGAGTTAGTTGAACTTAAGAAACACGCAGATGAACTTATAAAGAAACAATTCATTAAACTTAATGTATATCATTTTAGGAAGCAACTATGTTATCAATGAAAAAGAAGGATGGGAGTATGAGGTTGTATGTAGACTACCACCAACTTAACAAAATAGACAATCTTATAGACCAGTTAGTATATATACTATCTAATAAAATGAAGAAAAAAAACATTATTAATATATTAAAAAAATATAAAGTACATAGTTAAAAAGAAAACTAAGAGTAAGAAATATTGATATTTATATTTATTGTGTAATAATTATTAAATAAAAAATTATATAATTAATTTATTAAAAAAATTTATTTTGATTAAATAAATGTATTATTTATTAATTTTAATCTAGATTAATATTATATAAAGAATTTTTAAAAGTGATTAATTCAAATAGTAATTTAATATATAATATAGTGTTGATGTTATAACTAGACAAGTTAATTGATTAAGTCATTTAAATGGTGATAGTTGAAAGAGACTTAACTTTAAGATTTTTAAAATTTATATAATTAAAAATAAAGTGACTTATAGAATGAAAATTATATCAATAAAGTTAAAAGTGCAATTTATTCAAATATCGATGTATCTCATAGTTGTATTTTCCAGACAGCATTTTTTTTTCTCCAGAAACTAAAATTGTGTCATGTTATGCAAATTTCATGAACTAATTTAACTAGGTGTATTTGAACTTTAAATTAAGTTAGGGATGGTCAGTTTAGTTCATGGTTTTGACGGGTATAAGAAGAAATGTGTCTTCCTCGTCTAAAATGGAGCAAATTAATGCTTTGAGCATTTTTTTTATTCTTCTCATTCTGTGTGTAAAATAATAACTTTAGTTGATTGCAAACTCTTCAATTATTTCTCTAATGATGAATTATGGGTGTATTCTAATAATTTTTTGTACATAATTGACTAACTAAATGCTTTTCGGGTAGTCAAGTGGTAAATGATGACTGATGAGAAAGTATAAGTGAACTTACTTGCAACTTGCAAGTGACTTAATGATGATCAATGGATATATCTTCTCTAATAGAGTCACATGTCAATCTTTCTTTTTTAAGTTTTCACACAAGGCATTTTGGGCATTATTACTTCATCCAAAAAAATAAAAGAAAACGGTGCACCAAATTAATTTGTATAATTTTAAGTACTAGTTAATATTATATAAAAAAGTAAATTTAGTCCATCATTCTTACCGCCACTTCCCTTCAGTTGTCCATATAATTGACATAATTGATCGATTTGGTTTCTAACATTATGGAAATAATCAAGTTAATCACTAACTTTAACGATCATAATTGAATTTGGTCTTAATGTTTGTGACCAAATTAATTAATGTACCATAAAGTTTCGAGTTAAAAGTCTAATAGTGCGATAGATTTTTATAGTTTAAATAAAAATTAATTAATTTTTATGGTTTGAAATTAAAGGCTGGTTTTTATAGTTTAAAGAGTTTAAATAACCGTTAACTGTAGTTTTAAAGACCAGTTTGCCCAAAAAATAACTGGGCTTCTCTAATACTTGTAAACAATTTGGCAAGAGTTGCAGGCTGAGTGAGAAAAGAAATTGGCTAATGATATATACACCTTCCCTTTTTTATAAGTGCACCTCTTCTATTTTTATTTTTTTAAATCTTAAAATATTCATAATTTTTTTTATTCTTTAAATTTTTAATTTTATATCACTAACTTTTAATTTTTTATTTTTTTTTTTTCACACATCTCCTTCCTTATCTTTTTTAGTTTTCATATGCACCATCTTTCTTTCTCTAATTTTTCACCTATTTCAGTGGACAGTTTTAGTTCTCTTGATTTTTATATTACTCTTTATTTTCTCACCTTTTTCACTTTTTCGCATGCACTCAGATCATAGAACTGGTAGGCGACAACATTGTAGGTACGTGTATGTCGCAACCGAGATCGCGACGGGACGGCGAAAAATAAATTCAAAAATAGGGAGTCGCCATCAATGTTATTTTTTTTTACGGAAAAACATTGAAAAAACCATAAATTAGAAAATGGTCTACGAAAATTAGATTTTTGGGTTCGGAAGTCGATTACGTGTAAGGAAGGTATTAGCACCTTACAACGTTCGTCTTAAGACAATTAACTTTAATTAATTAAGCAAATTTATTATAACTTTTAAAATATTTACTTCACCCCACATTAATATAAATTAACAATCAAATATATAGTTTAATAAATGTTTTTATTTTAATGAGTACTAAAATTATTATTATTATTATTATTAAAAATGAGATAATATTGTTATTTTTATTTTTTTTTGGCTCGACAGGAGTAATTTCCTACTCCTACGTATCTTCATGCGTAAGGAAGAATCAGAGTCACGTAATTCTTTGGTAGAAAATATTTGGGTGTTGGAATTTTTTTATTAATTTGTTTATTGTTTTTCTTTTAAAAAGGTTAGGATTTTTGAACTGTCACAGCTCATACATCCCAAAATATAAAAATTGACAGAAGTGTACACCAAAGCCAGAATTTAATTATTAAAAAAAACATTATTATTGTTAATATTGTGGTACATATTTAAAAAGATTTTGGTTAGATATTTTTTATTTTTTAGGGGAAAAGTAAAGATATCAAGTTGTCACAACTTGTATCTTAAATTTAAAGGTTAAAAAGATATTACATCTAATAAATTATTTTTTTCAATAAAATCTTTGATATAATGACCTCAAATATTTATATTAAAAAACTATGATAATATATATTTTTTTATATTTAATTATATTTTAAACTTAAATAAGAGGAATTTTTAAGATAACAAATTGTCACAATTTGTACCTTAAGCCCAAGAATTAAGGGAATGTCACATTCCAATAAACTCTCTCCTTTTTTTTTAAATGAATTAAAATTACATGAACATCTAACACATTTATATTAGGAAACAACTTAATCAAGTAAAATAAATTAAGCTAATTTTGTTAAACAATAAATAAATGCTATACTCTAAAATTAAGGAAACTCCTCATAATTTTATCACTATTTTTATTATTTATTATTATTAAATAAAATTAACTAAATTAATTTTTGTTAAAACAAGAAATAAAAATTATCACCTAAGATTAAGAAAATGCCCCATTTAATTAATCTCATTTTGCTTCTTTTTTATTTATTTTTTTTAAAAAAGAAATATTATTAATATTGATATAATAATAATAATTACTATTATCAATACTTTTCTTAATTAAAATGACTTGAGGACCTAATATACATATGCAAATAAATTATTTAATTGATTATCTAACCCTTTGTTATAAAATATAAACAAGCAAAATACCATTTTCTATTCATGTCTGAAACAATTTTGGCAAAAAGAAGATAAGGAATTTGATTAGATGAGTTTAGGGGTATTTGGTTATTGATGGGCTTTAGTCCACGTTGGTACCAGGAAGAAACAAAGTGATGGTCTCTCACCATGCTGAGCCCAAAACGGAGCAAAAAGGAAAAGGAAAAAAAAGAAAAAAGAAAAAAAGAAAGGAATAAAGGAGAACGGTGGCATTAAGTCACGTTTTATGCAACAGAAAAGGAAAACATGAGTGAGACCACACATTAGGGTTGTGCAAGCCACATGCGGCTTCCTTAAACCATCTTCAGCCGCACGAGGGGGTCGACTATCGGCACTGCAGAAAGCGAAGAAAGATGGGGATGGAGGAGCGAATCGTGAACGAGAACAACATCCACCGTCGAAATCATCTCCGACGGCGGGCGCGGTAGAGTTCACGGCAACTCGACCCACTTTGGGTTTGTCACGGTCGCGCACAATAAAAGCGTAAGGGAGAAGATGGAAGCGTATATCGCCGCCACCGGAAATCGCTTCCGGCGACGGCACATGGCGGCGCACAACGGCTTTCGAGTTCCCCGGTAATACTCACTTACCTTTTTCTTTCATTATCACTTCTTTTCCTATTGGGGTTTGGTTTTATTATTCAGAAGATAGAGACCCTATTTACTCATTTCAAGATTCAAAACATCAAAGAGATCAAAATACACAAAATATCGATACCTAGAGTTGTGGTTCTCTTTTCTCCTCCTCCCTACTTTGCCCGGATTCCTTTGTCTTCTTCACACGCTTGCTCTTATTAGTTAGTCACTTGGTGATTTTTTTTCTTCTTCTTGAATCCCTTTAATCTCATTTTGCTTCTTTTTTATTTATTTTTTTTAAAAAAGAAATATTATTAATATTGATATAATAATAATAATTACTATTATCAATACCTTTCTTAATTAAAATGACTTGAGGACCTAATATACATATGCAAATAAATTATTTAATTGATTATCTAACCCTTTGTTATAAAATATAAACAAGCAAAATACCATTTTCTATTCATGTCTGAAACAATTTTGGCAAAAAGAAGATAAGGAATTTGATTAGATGAGTTTAGGGGTATTTGGTTATTGATGGGCTTTAGTCCACGTTGGTACCAGGAAGAAACAAAGTGATGGTCTCTCACCATGCTGAGCCCAAAACGGAGCAAAAAGGAAAAGGAAAAAAAAGAAAAAAGAAAAAAAGAAAGGAATAAAGGAGAACGGTGGCATTAAGTCACGTTTTATGCAACAGAAAAGGAAAACATGAGTGAGACCACACATTAGGGTTGTGCAAGCCACATGCGGCTTCCTTAAACCATCTTCAGCCGCACGAGGGGGTCGACTATCGGCACTGCAGAAAGCGAAGAAAGATGGGGATGGAGGAGCGAATCGTGAACGAGAACAACATCCACCGTCGAAATCATCTCCGACGGCGGGCGCGGTAGAGTTCACGGCAACTCGACCCACTTTGGGTTTGTCACGGTCGCGCACAATAAAAGCGTAAGGGAGAAGATGGAAGCGTATATCGCCGCCACCGGAAATCGCTTCCGGCGACGGCACATGGCGGCGCACAACGGCTTTCGAGTTCCCCGGTAATACTCACTTACCTTTTTCTTTCATTATCACTTCTTTTCCTATTGGGGTTTGGTTTTATTATTCAGAAGATAGAGACCCTATTTACTCATTTCAAGATTCAAAACATCAAAGAGATCAAAATACACAAAATATCGATACCTAGAGTTGTGGTTCTCTTTTCTCCTCCTCCCTACTTTGCCCGGATTCCTTTGTCTTCTTCACACGCTTGCTCTTATTAGTTAGTCACTTGGTGATTTTTTTTCTTCTTCTTGAATCCCTCCATTCCTTTTGTGTTGTGCTATTTATAGATGTATGATTTTTGAATTTGATTAATCTTTCTCTGCCAAATCCCTAAATTCAGGGAAATGAAAGGTTTGGTGGTTCCAGCAGGGCATGGTGGCTTGTTTGCAGGGCATGGTGGCTCCGTAGCAGAGTAGTTAGGGGTCAGCTGATTGTATCCAAAGGAGGCAGAGGAAGATCTTTCTTTTCTTTCTTCCTTTTTTGTTTTTATTAATTTTTCATTAATTTAATGTATGTATGTATTATTATTATTATTATTTTATATGTATTGATATAATTTTGATTTATGCAAGAAGGCAAAATTTGGAATTAACAGATAGTTTCCTCGACAATTTTTATCAAACTAGACAAATATTTTTTCTTTCAACACTTCTTTTTCTTTCACCCCTCCAAAAACTTTAACATATCAGCCAACTCTACAATAGAATTGATCAAGGGTGCACAACTATGAGAAGCATTACAGTCTTCATTGAGAAATTTAATAGCAAGGCTAGAGTCTGATTCTACAATGATATCCTCTTTAAAACCTTTATCCTTAATGATCCGAAGTCCGTGAAAAATCGTCCATAACTCTGCTTGGAGAATAGAACACTGACCAAGCTTACAGGGAAATCCCGTTATAAAACCTCCCAAATAGTCCTTAATAATACCTCCACAACCCGCCTTTCTTCCAACACCATGCACTGCTCTGTCACAATTGAGTTTGATGGAACCTAAGGGAGGAGGATATATATATATATATTAAAATTTTAAAATTATTAAATTTTTAATGAGAAAGACTAAAATTGCACAATTATGATATTTGAGAGATTAAAATTGTTCAATTAAAAATTATGAGACTAAAATTACACAACTATAATCTTTTAAGGACTGAAATTACTCAATTAAAACCTTAGAGATCAAAATTGCATAATTATAATATCAAAAACACAATTAAGTAAAGAATATTTTATTCACAGTTTTGGAACGGACCGTTCTGATTCACTAGTGGTGTTTTAATTTTGCAACCAGAACGGCTCGTTCCGATTTCAGAACGGGCCGTTCCGGATCCAGCTGTTTTCAAAAAAATTCTGTGGATGCCACGTATGCATCTACGTGGCATCCACGTGGCCAAAAGTTAATTCCGTTTAAATAATTTGGACGGAAGTCCCACATTAAAACTAATTAATTAATTTGGGACTAAATTGAAACTAATTAATTAGTTTGGGACCAAATTGAGACAAAAAATTAATAAGAGACTAAATTGAAACAAAAAAGATTATAAGGATCAAAATAGGTTTTTAGCCTTTTTGTTAAGTCAGAATGTGGCAACCCCACCATAGCAGTAGAAAGATTACCTTAGAGTTAGAATGTGGCAACCCACCATAGGAGTAGAAAGATTACCTAATGTACAGCTCAAAGAACTTATAGTAATAGTACAAAGATTAAATTTAGGAGGAGGGTGGGTTAATCTCCTTCTCTGGCACATGAAGGGCACCTTCATTTATGCCTGGCTGATATGTACATTAGTACCAACGTCCACCTATACTGACCAACACCATTTCTAACGTTGGAAATTATCTAGTCTCATTTATATTATTTTTCACATGCAATTGTCCTAAGAATATCATCTCATATATTACAACCCATACATGAATAAAGATTAAAATGTGGTTTCATAACCATTTAAAAAAGTCATCCACATTTTATTTTAATACTGAACATTCAAGTATTATATAAATAATAGCTTACCATATATTAATAAGTAATTAAAATATTGTTTACATGATTATTTATTATTTATGAAATTATTAATCATATTAATGTATTTGTCAATTTTATTATTAGAATACAATCAAAATCTCATATCAATACAATAAAAAAAGAAATATGAATTTAAAAAACATAATTTTGTTTGATAAAAAATCTTTCGGATGATAACTAAAAACAAACTTATAAAAATTTATATTTAAAATGAATAATATCATATTAATGTAAAAAATAAAAATATATAACTATGAGGTAATTCATTTTATAACTTGATAAAATGTCTATATACTTTTTTTTTCTTTTTTTCTCAAAGGTCTATCTACAACTAGTGAGTTAGAAAAGTATCTCCCCATATTAATATTAGTTCCTCTTTTTATAAAAAAATATTCCAAGTGCATAATGCACAAATTCATATATAAATTATGTTATGCTTCTCTTCATTGAGGCATTGACACCTCTCTTTCAAGATTTGATGGTCTACTATATATATATATATAGAGAGAGCATATCAAGTGAGAGAAAATTCATTATGAGAGATGCGATGGTTAAAATATAACTTTTAAGGAGCATATCAAGTGAGAGAAAATTTATTATGAGAGATGAGAGGGTTAAAATATCTCTTAGATTAATTTTCTCTCACTTGATACACTGAAATTTGAGAATTCTTAAAATTAATCTAAAAGTTATATTTTAACCCTCTCATCTCTCATAATAAATTTCTTCTCACCTGATACGCTCCTTATATATGTATATATACCATTCGAGCATGCATACATGACATATGTTATACATCTAACTAAGCTATGCGCGAAGGTAAAAAAAGTAGCTATACGGAAGAAAAAGGTGGGCATAAAAACAACTTTCACTTAGACATAAAAAAGTAGCTCTGTCGAATACTGCACTGTATCGAGGACATAGCATGACTTCCCTATCAGATATGTAAAAAAAGTGTTAAATTAAATGTTAGGAGTGTAAATAAAAAATAAAAACATTTTAATAATTTAATTTAATTTAATTTTTGAAAAAAAGAGGGTGTACTTATAAAAAAAGGAGGTGTATATATCATGATCCAAGAACTTTAGCTACAAATTTGTTTTGGCCCATCGTACTCTTAAATGGGTTGGGGTAAGCCCATATGGAAAGTGAAATTAATAATTAAGTCCAAACCATTGTATTTAAATACTTAAATTACTTAAGTCATGCACTCTCTTTTTGTTTCCCACTAAAGATATATCCTAATCGATGAGACTAATTCCCTCGTATAAGTAAAAAATTTTGAAGTAAGTTTTGAGTTTTCAATAGAGTATTTTCGATATCCATGATCAATAATGAAACTCATGATAACATATTTAAAAAACTCAGTTATTTATCTATTAAATTGAACCATGTTGATAACTTAGGTTACATGCTAAAAGTATCTTTATTGTTTCCATAAGTTAACATATTGGTCCTCTACAAGTGGATAGGCATGGTAACATGCCTAGTCAAGGTGTGCTTTTACCTTTCATGTCTTCGCAGAAGAGTGATTGATTTTTAGTTCAAAATTAAAAGTGATAAATTTGTATTTTAAACTTATTCCTATTTTTGTCGAATTTTATCAAGTTTAGTTAAATCCCAAAAAAAGAACAATGATCACATTTTTGTATAAAAAGTCAAAGGTTCGGATTTTCTAAACCATATTACTAATACATTTTAAAGTGTTTGTACATATCTATTTAAACACTTATAAGATGTTGCCTTATTTTAAAAATTATAAATTATATCTTGATTGAAAATATTTTTTTTTAAAGTAACTAAATAATTTATTTGATCACTTATAAGATGTTTTTCATGTGATTTTGATTATAATGATCATGATTTTTGTGAGAGTATAACAAGATAGTTAGGACAAGTTATTAGAAAATGTTGTAGAGTTATGTTGGCAATATAATCAATGATTACTGATTTTGTTGATTTGTTTTTTGATACTACTTGACTAACAACTTAAATTTTACATTATGTTTTACTTGACGACTATACATATATTATATATATATATATATAATGTGCAAATTCATGTAAAGAAAGTATAAAATCTTAAGTATATTAGTAGTTTCACTACTAGTTAGTGATTTCACAAATTGTAGTGAGTATGACTGTTACAAAAATTATTCATCTTAAAATATAAAATATAATTTATATATTTAAAAATATTTATTTATACATAATTTAAATGTAATTTATATATTTAAATATAATATATATAATTTATTATAAATTAAGATCATATAATAAATATTAATCCACATACTAAAATACTACCTTACAAAAGCCAAATTTCATATTTTTTTCAAATTCAAATACAATAAAAATTATCCATAATTACTCGACTCCGCGTAATGATAGAATTTAAAATAATATATACAATATTTTAAGTTTATATTTTATTGACATCATTAAAAAAATTTCTATTAAAAAAAGAAAATAAAAATATTATACATTAATATCTGAAGTGAATTTCCATATATGAAATATTGTTTTAATTGAACGTATCCATTTTACAAAGGTGGCATGGAGACGATGGTGTGTGTCCATGTTTAATTGGGTCCAAAAATGAAAAATCCTACGAGGCCAGGAAGGCTAAAGAAGGTGTCCACAGAAGCGAAAAGTTCGGCCCACTTAGTTCCTCTTCCAATATATTATTTTTTCCTAAACACAAAACAAAACCCCTTCCTTACCCAAAGTCCCAAACCACCACACTCTCTCTCTCTCTCTCTCACTCTCTCTCTATACATTATCCCCCACTCGGCGCCGTATCACCCAACCAAACCCCTCACACCACACGCCGCCAAACAACCCTCCCCTCCGCCGCCGCCCCGCGGCGCCACCACCGTACGAACCTCGATTTAGTGGAACACGAACAGCAGGAGGTGCTTGGTTGCAAATGGCGTCCACCGCAAGCCTCGACGTCGCCGACGGCCCCGTGATGAGCCTAATTAGCAAGCGCCTCCGCGCCCTCCGCAAGAAGCTGAACCACATCAACGCCATGGAGGACTCCGTTTCTCAAGGGAAGCCGCTCAACAAGGAGCAGGAGGAGGGCCTCCGCTCCAAGCCCTGCGTCCTCGCCCTCATCGACGAGCTCGAGAAGCTCCGCCAGCCTCTCGCCTCCGCACTCGCCGAGGAGCTCGAAGCCTCCGCCGCGCACACCCGCCGCGGCGCCGAAACCCTAGCCGAGAACTCCGGCTCCAGCGAGCCGCCGCCGCACTCGAACGACGCCGTTCTCGAGGACCTCCTCAACCTGCTCTACTTCGGCTCGCTCTTCGACGTTAAGAGCGACTTCGCCTCCACGATGCTCACCCGGACGCACGAGCGCGGCTGCTGCTTGACCTACGACTACGTCACCGACGACGCCACCGATCTGCTCGGCGAGAAGGACCTCGATTCGATCTCCGCCTTGCGCGCCCTTCTCGTTTCGCGCCCCGCCGATTCCAGCTTCTCGCACAAGAACGCGCTCCAGCGATGCGTGGAACACGCCAAGCTGTGGCTCGCCAAGTCCGAGCAGCCCATTGGACCTGATGCTGATGTCACTTGTATGCTTCTGTTTGGTTTTGCTTGTGTTTCGGTGTTGTTTGTTAACTTGTTATTCATGTTTTCTTTTTTCGGTTTCTATTTTTAGATGCTGCATTGAGGGAGAAGTTGAATAAGATTATGTCTTCGGAGTACTTTACTACTACTCCTGAGATGAAGGCTTCGGTTGAAGTTGCTGCCGCGGCTGCTGGGGGGAATTACGTGTCTTTCCATGTGCCCGTGCATGGTTCTGTGGTTCCGGTTGAAGTCGAACAACCTGTTTTTCAGTCTCAGGAGAAGGTATAACTGTTATGCTAGCTGGATTTTTCTTGTTTTTATGAAATATTTGCGTTTGGATGTGTGTTGCTTGTTTAGAATTTGTAAAATGTGGATTCAGTTTAGTAATGTTCATGGCTTGGATGATGTTTAGTTTAAATTTTTTGGACTGCTTTGAAAGTGAGGTACACTAGCGTTCTGCATTACTTAATTTGGTGGGGCAAAATGTTGCAAAGTGCAAAATGGAGTTATCCCGAGCACTTGCAATGTTAGGACTTAGGAGGCACCCTTTCATGTTAATGTACTCTATACATGTATGTCTTTAAGTAGATTGTTACTATTCATATATCAATTCATTTGAATTTTGTTCTACACGGTAAATCTACAATATGTGCAAAACAACAACGACAAAAGACCTAATCCTACTAGGTGAGGAATGTGTGCAAACCTTGACAAAACTTTATAAATATTCTCATTATAGAAAAATGTATAAACAGAGGTTATGACCTCTCGTTCCTGTTTCTTACAAATGGTATTTCAGCATGCATGTATAAATGTTAATATTTTTCAATCTGTGTGCAATTATTCTCCAATATGCCAGGAACCACCCTATTGCAGTGGAGAAAAGTGATTTTTCAATATTTTATATGTTTTTGCCATTTGCTTGAATTTAAGAGACCCTGCTTTAAGACATTTTTTGAGAAATTAAATATTATTTTTATGTAAGTTGAGTCTTTGATTAAAGGACACAATGTTGTGAAATTACCGTTAATAGTGCTGCCATAATGCCATAACGTGGTGTATTTTGACCCCTTTGCCATAGGCAATTTGTGAAGGGCGGCCTGGTATTTTGGGTCCATAGGCATCAAATGGTGTGTATATATGGTGGAATTTCAGCCTTCCACTATATTCTGCCATTGATAGGACGTGTATGCCAGTTCTGTGCTGCTGGCATAGGCCTTGTCTTTCAACATTCAATAGGATTATAGGTAGGAATTCCATATAGTTCATAGGGGGATTGGTAGTGTCTTGATAACCTGTGTGACTTTCCCTAGATTATTTTTGCCGCAGTTGACATTGAGTACTTGTTTTTTTCAATTGAATTCAAATTTGTTTTTACTAATAAGTCCTTGGTTCGAGGCTTCTAGCTATCAACTGTTGTCACGTTTAATAAGTGGTGAGTTAGTGTTGGTATGGTTAAATCTCCTGTTTCTGAGGAGTTAGTGAAATAATCAGTGACATGTAGCTGTCTTTATAAGTATGTGGCTGTCTCAAATGGCAGATGGAGTGCTACATGGGTGTGTCCAAAATGATGATATAGGGTTTAAGAGGGAACCCCTCCATTGGTTGTGTATTGGGTGGCCAAGAATGATTTGCAACTTACTAGGAAATAAGTTTTTCTTATCTCCTTGACCCTAACAAGTGTGTTGTGTACTGTGCTTATACACCAATAATTTGCAGACCACTACTATTACTATGGTGATTAGTCGGCAAATATCAGTTTATATACTTTGTTTGAAGTGAATTGAATGCTGTTCCATATGTAATGTAATAGTGGTGTGCAAAATTTGGTTTAAGTATTTAATTTTCATAATCACGCAATCATGCAACCATGTAGCAATTTTGTTCTGAATTGATATAGTTTATCAACTAACATGTTTAGCATACCCAATTGTCAATCTGTATACAGTTTCATCCCTCAAAGAAGTAATTTATCTGGGACCAAGTAACACAAGTTGTCACTTTCAGGGGCTAAATTGTATATTGAATTTTTTTTTTATAATTTTTTTATCAATCATTATGTCTGGATTTAACAAATATTTTTCTTGGATGTATGCTTGAACTTGGAGTTTGATGAAATATATAAAAGAATGCTAAAATCATGTAGGTAAATACTGTACTTTTTTTTTGTTAGCTTCCAGAGGATTAGTAAGTAACAAGAAATGATATTTGGTTCATAGTAGTCAATAGCGGGCGGAGTGGCCGCAATCGCGGCGCGTCGGAGCAGAGCGCCCCACCCCCGCCATTTGGATGCTGTCGCGTCGCAGATGAGTGTTGCGGCCGGAGCGGCCGTGGCGGCGGCGGAGCGGAGCGGCCAGAAACGCGAGAATCGCGGCGCTTTTTCTGACCTACCCTTCATTAAGGGTAAGTTTGTATTTTCGTTGGGCTTTATTTGCCCTAATTTTACCCCTCCCTCTCGCGGAAGTCTCCCTTTTCTCACTCGCGCACTCCCTCTCCTCTCTCTCTACTCTCGCACTCCCTGGACTTCTTCTCTGTTGAGGCAGTCATCCAGCTCCGACGCACTGTTCCGACGGTCCTCCAGTTCCGACGCCGCCGTCCAGCTCCGTCGCTCGTCCAGCTCCGACGTCGTCCAACTCCGACGCGCCTCCAGCTCCGACGCCGACGCTCCAGCAGCTCAAACGTGCCCTCTTCGTGCCCCGTCTGTCTTCTTTCTCTTTTATATTCCTATTTTATATTTCAAGTTTTCAACAGATTTTTTTTTTTTTTATTTCTCATTAAATTTAATTAAGCAGAATTTTTTTTTAAATTTCTGAATAAATTTAATTTAGCAGATTTTATTTTTAATTTCTGATTAAATTTAATTCAGCAATTTTTTTTTAAATTTTTAATTAAATTTATTTCAGCAGATGTTTAATGCATGAAGTTAGAGTTTGTTTTTAGCTTTTATGTATATATTATTAATTATTTAATATATATAAATTAATATTAAAATAGCGGTTATCCCGCTCCGCGTCATCCCGCTATCCCGTTTTTAGGGTCGACCGCTCCGCTCCGCTATCCGGGATTGACTACTATGATTTGGTTACTTAACATTGGCTGAGCTTTTCATACATTGATCATTTTGTTTTAAATTTAATAATTCATTTTAAATCCTCAGTCATGGCTTAAACTTTGTATTGTATAAATTTACCTATTATCTATCTAACCCATGTCATTGCATATGATAACTTTTTATATGTAACAATAATTATTATACACTACTAGAATTCTGGTGCTCTTGTTGAGCAGAATCCCTACAAGTGCTAGATTAGAGTGTATGAAGAAAATATTGCTAAGAATGAAGAATTGCTGTTGTTTCTGTTATGAATTTATGATAAGTGACAGAACATGAAGATCTCCTTTCCTTGCTTGGGCAACACCCTTATTAGTGAGAAATCTCAGTTAACAAATTATTATTCTGATCTGCCCAATTCTGTAAACATTTTACCTATTCAAAGTTTCAAACTGGATAGACCGATGGAAGGCCTCAAGTGTATGATGAGTAATAAGAATAAGAAATAGGCTCCATCAGTTATTTGTATACGTGCTGAACAGCTATGTGTGGTTTATCTGACATTTATTAATGTGGTTTATTTGGAAGTTATTTGTATTAATTGTGTTGGACAGTTGTGTCATGTTTGTGTGTACATTAGGTTCGGATGGGGGTTGATTATTAGAGTAGTTTTTTTTTTTCCTGTGGATTGAAGGAGATCGCTCCTTACAAGGGGAAACCCTTGTGTGTTGAGCACTTGTGCTGCAAATCTGGTTACTAAACTGGATTGTTTCTGTAATACAATCAGTGTTTTGTGTTTCTAATTCCTGAGTGGAACACTCTCCCTGGCCTCCTAAATTCCCTTGCTACTGCTATAACCACTCTGACTAACAATCTTCTGTGGATTCCAAAATGTAGTGCAATATTCCTAATAGATGATAGAGAAATTTACTTGTAGGCCTTTTCAGCCCCATGATTTTCATCTGCTCCATTCATGTTTATAATTGTGGAAAAGATTAAAATAGCACCACTACTAAAATTACCATCGTTATTTGTGCAAATTTTGTGCAATAGTTTCCATCTGCTCTGTGTAGCAGCATCTTGCAGCCGGAATTTATTTTACTACTTTACATTATGATTCAAATACAATAACTAATATGATTCAATTACCTAGCACTAACTTTACTACATTATTCAATTGAAGTATTATCGACAAATAATTCAGACAACTAGACCATAAGATGAGAGTACTGGGGGAGGGGACTGAGCAGTGAGACGATGAACTATTTAAACTTAATACACTTTTTTGTTTGGTCGTATTGTTCGACCCTTTTGCTTTAGTTGAAAACGTTTATGCAGTGAATCTGCATCTCTTTCTGTCCTAAATATTTGAAGTTTCAGATTTGGTTGTTTGGTTTAGTATTATAATTGCATATCCCTGTTTCTTTCTATAATTTATATTTGCTTGTACATGTAGCTTCATCTCTTTTAAGAATCTCTGGACAAATATTTACTGTATGTTAAATATTTTAAGCAATCCGTGTAAATATGGCAATTTAAAAGTCTTTTTGTTCCCATTATTCCAGGTTTTTTAGAATAGTTTTTGTTCTTTCTTTTCTTTGGTATGATATCTGTAGGACTTAATGTGTTCTGTGATTTTAAGTTTTCAATGCTTGTTACTTTTGGTAAAGAACAACGATTTTGTCTTTGATTGACACCAAAATAAGTTGATACTTTATGCTTTTAGCTTACACAAGTTCCATACGCTTTTTGTAGGATGAAGGAACCACAAATTTTCAAGGACATGGATCTGAAGATGACCAGTCTGATCCTGAAGAAGAGCTTCAGAAGGTTTGTATAATTTCGGCTTCAATCTTGGTGACATTGAAATCGATCTGATGCTAATGTTTTTTCCCCCTGCAGGATGATGTAGAAGCAGAAAATGCAGGTGAGGTGGTGTCAGTTCAACATGAACAGACCAACCCACAAGGTGATGTAGATTATAATCAACGAGATGTAGAGGCCAAGGAGCAGCAGTCTTACCCCAGGCGGGGTTATCAGAACCATAGAGGTGGTCGTGGTGGAGGTGGTCGCCGGGGCTATTCAAATGGTCGTGGAGGTCGTGGTGGTGGTGGTGGCAGAGGAGGCTACCAAAATGGCCGCAGTCAATACTATGATCAGCCTGGAAATTATTATCCAAGGAACTACTATAACAACAGAGGAAGAGGTGGCAGAGGTGGTGGCTATGCTTACAACAACCATGGGCCAGGTGGTCATGTGAATCATGTGGCAGGTGATGTGGGGGTGCAATGATAATTAATTATGAATTGTCGATAGTGCTTATTACTGTCACTAGTTGGTGGTGAACCATTATTTATTCGCCTGGCATGAACATGTTTTGAACAATTTTGTTTGACACTTGAAACGTCTAGACTCCACCATTTTGTAGTCCAGTGGCTAGTGTGGACCTTTGTCCGAAATCTTACAGGAAGAAACTATATGCGAATATCTCGTGTTCTGGAATGTTGCTCTTGAAGCTTTCTGCGATAGCCTGCCAACTGTATATGCAGGTAGATATTTCTGTTTCAAATTAAGTATACAGCGGTGGGACCTCCTTCGACCGAGAGGCACAATTTGCAAAATTAGTGCCTCGCTACGAAAAGTACAACTCCATTCTAGATGGATTTTTTTTTTTTAATTTCCTGGTGCCATTATGTTTAACCAGTGTGGTCACGTTACATCTTTATGTCTACTTGCGATGGATTCATTGATGTGTAGCATATAAGTAGAACCATAGAACCGAATCACCTTTTTTTTTTCTTGTATTTTTTCCTGTTAATATGGCCAGCTGCAGAGTGAGCTGTGTTAGCGCAGCGGAGATTGCCAGCATGTTTAGCCATAACTTTGAGCAATCATACATGGCATTCAATCCACACTCCCAAGTCATGTTCTACCAAGCTACTTCCATGGTTGCCACAATTTCCCCGGGACTCCACCATAACTTTTTTTTTTTCCTGCCTATTTTCTGGCCAGCCAACCATATTAAATGAATGTTTTGCCTGAATATTATGACGGGATGTTTTTTTTTTTTTAGGTGAGGATAATGGAAATAGATTTTGCTTATATGATTAGTAATGAATCGTTAAAATTAAGATCGTCCCGCCAACCTGATCGATCTCAGTGGCATTTAACAAGTCCGGGTATAAGAAGTTAGATTCAATACGTATTTGGAGGACGGATATGATTTATATTTCGGGTCATCTTATATAATGGTATACGTTCTTCTAAAGAGTTTTTAAATAATTATGTATTAAGAATTTGACTTAATCATGTTTTGAATAACATGCTATAATATTTATATTGTATTGGTATTGATATCATTTAAATTAAAATATAGCTTTAATTACTTGTTTAATCTTTATAGGTATACGTATTTTATCTTTTAGTTTCTATGCTTTAAAAATCATTTATCTATGTTTTTATATAAACTCGTTCAATTCCATTTTGGTTCACGTCGTTAAACAAAAGTTTACATCGTTAATGATGAATAACATGATACCGTTGCGCTACAGATTGTTATATTTTTTGTTTTAGTCCTTGTGTACGTGCATCATTTCGTTTTTATTCCTGTACTTAGACAATTTTTTTATTTTTTAGTTTTAGTTTTTAATTTTTATATTTTAGCCTTTACACTCATACAATTTTTACATTTTAGTTCTATATTTGTATTTATTTTACTTTATTTTATTTTTATGTTTTAGTCTTTATTAATACTTCTCTTTCTTATTTAACCGTTTCCTTACTTTCTACTTATTATTTTTCTTCTCATCAACACCTATCTTTTCATTTTGTAGTTTTATTTCTTTTAAATCCTACATATTAATTATCATTGATCTTAAATTGAAGAGTCTCGAGGTTACATAGTTTAAATGTGCTTATCAAACAATGAGATAAATTAATAGTGATTTGTGATTACATTTCGTGTAATGGCCAAAGGTGTTAAAGAAATAAAATGAATTAAACTAGATATTATAGAATACCAAATTGTAAATGTATACTTATTTTATTTTATAATATATAATATTAAAATTATTATATTGTAAAAATAAGTTAGGTTAAGTCCGTCTTGTTTCAAATATTGTTGATTTTGATTGAATGTAAGATGATAATAAAATTAATCCTGTCAAAATTTTGAGTCTTATAAGAACATATATAAACCCTTACACGAACACATAATCTTAAAGAGAGTAACTCCAACAAATTTAAGAGAATAGTGTGAATGTGTTGTGTTGTTGGCTTGTTGCACGGAACATGTATGAAGAAAAAACGTGAATGTGTTATGTTTGTTGCACTATACAATAGTTAGAATAAAGGACTTCAGTTTCACTAATATTTATAGAGATATGAAATTTATTAAAATTTTTAAATTCTAATAATTTATTACAAATAATAAAAACAATGTTAGCATTTCTCTTGTAATCAATATTTCTCTACCAAATCATTCCTTATGTGCAGTGATTGTATTTATGCCAGACCCACAAATTTTTACATATTGCACTCCCTCAAAAACCACTCCTTTCCAACTAAATCAAAACAAGGTACCTTTTGGATTAGTGACAATCAAAACAAGGTACATATCTCACTCTGATCTAATTGGCCACAGATATCAGTCGCAAGAAAATATAAAATAAAATCAAAACAATGTCAAGACAAGGTTGTATAACATGAACAGAATATCAAGTATATATCTTAATAAATATATAATATTCTTTTAAAGCTTTGCACAAACTTCTAGTAGCCTGGTTCAGTCTGCAGGAAGGACCATGACCATAATATAAACAGCTCAAGTGGATAACAGCACACCCTATTATTCCTCTGCCTGATTGGTTGTCACCATGTTTGGTTAGCCTATAGTCTTTAACACGTTCACTTTAGGAACAATATCAACTGAATTTTTTGTCTTTATTTTCCTTCATCTTTTTTCTTTTGGTCCATTTGTTCAAGAGGGACAACCTTCACTAGAAAACATCTGAGAATGGGATCCGAAAGTCCATAAATAGGAGAACAGAACATTATTAAAGAGAGTCATAGGATGGCTAACCTATTTCTGTGTTAAAATAATAAACCACGTGGAGTTAATTCCCATAATATTTTATATAAGAACGGATAGGGTTGCTCTAATTTCTGTATAAACAAAGGCCTCAAATGTAACTAATAGAGTCTCATTAGAGGGCTACTAATTTTAAATCCATACAAACGTCTGGTGGTGAATGAAATTAAAAGATTCCATCGATTGAATTAATATCAGCCTTTATTTATACTCAAGCATCGTAATATTTGTTTTGATGCTAATAAGGATTTACTCAAACCACGGAAATGAATAATATTGACAAAAATAACTTTACTTTGAATTGTGTTATTATTTTTTAGGTTTAAATATCTTGCTAGTTTTTTTTTTTTGAAATATATCTTATTAGTTCTTATAACTAAGGTATTTTAATTTTTAATTCTTATAAAATTATTACAATTATTTTAGTCTCAGAAACTTTTTTTTTTTTTTTTGTTAATTCTATTGACTTGGGGGATGTTTGATTCGTTTCAAATAAACTAAGTCTATACTAATATATAAAAGGGATATCACTTTCAATGACTACTTTTGGTTTCTATTTTTACATGGATCATTTTATCCTTTGTTTATTTTCCATAACTTTCTAAAACTACATTTTCTTATGAGTAATTTCTCATTTTTTTCCTTCTTTTTTCTATTTTATTATGAAACTACTATAATTGTTTATAAAAATAATTAATTTTTTCTTTTAATATAATGTAGACATAGAGTGTCTTTTTCCTGCTAGAATAAGGATTGATAAGAAAGGTGATAAATAATCATGAAGGTAAATTATTCATACGTAAATTTGGTCATCATCAAACACCATAGGATCGTCCAGACTTGCTGACAAGAATATTTCGATCAAAATTTAAGCAACAACGATGATGTGATCAATAAGAAGGTCCTTGGAAAGATAAAAAATTATATGTATATGACAGAATATTTCGACAATTCTTTATCTTAAACCTTATCTTTTTTCCCATATTTTTCTGACCCAATTCTCAAATCTCTCAATTCCTTCTTCAAACTCTAATTTCCTTCCATTTGCGCACACACCCTTACAAACTTAAAACCTTAATGATTATTTATCACCTTACTAATTATCATCTATAAAAGGATATATTTTGATAACTATCTTTTTAGTTTCCACTTTTTAGTAAAACATTATACTTTTTGGATGTAAAAAAAAAAATTATATCATTTCTAAATAATCTATCTATCTATATCTATAAATGAAATATATTTTAGTAACTACTTTTTTAGTTTTTACTTTTAGTGTACCATTATACCTCTTAAATATATAAAAAAAAATTTATATCATTTCCACTATTTGCCTCTAACTATTAGAGACACGAAATGTCTCGATCCCTCTAATATATATAAATGAAATAAAAACTGTCACTTTTAACGAGTTAGGAAATTCATGTGCCCCTTGATAACTATTTAACATTTCTTAATTTTCACCGTTAGGTAATCTTTAATAAGATGTTTTTATATAGATTTTTTTTAACTATTGGAATTTAGTGATATGATTTTCACGTGCAGAACTAGTTATTTTATAACAACATATAAAAACTGAGTTCTTGCAGTAAAAAATAAAAGAAAAAAAAGTGGAATGATTGTGGAACCTCACATAAAATAAATTAAGACCTAAATTAGATTGTTTCATTAGAGTAAAAAAAATGTAAAATTTCTTAAATTATACGTGTCATTGAAGTGCCTCTAAAAAAGTATTAAGAATACAAAATGAGTTAAAGTGTCACATTACCCCACCATGTGTTTTGTAAGTATATATTTTGGGGATTAATATACTAGCTGTATTTAACTATAAAATCTTTTCAACTAAATTATATTCTTTAAAAAATTAAAAATATTAAATTTATCAATAATTTAAATTACTTTTTTAAAGTTATCTTTAACATCTTTTTAATTATTTTTTTTCTCTTTTCATTTAATTATTTCTCATCATATTAATTAATTAATGTTTGAAAAGAGAATACTGTCAAACTATATTTTATGTGTTTATTTATCTTCTCCAATTTAATAAGATGAAGAGTTTTTATCTAATTAAATTTAAAATATTTATTATTTTTTATCTAAAAAGATTTTTAATTAAATAAAAATAGTTTAAAGAAAATATAATTGATGCAACTGATATTTACAAGAGAATCTTATAGAAAAATATAAGTAAAAAAGTTTAAAAAGTTTTATATAAAGAGACAAAGATAGTAATAGAAATAGTTTTACGAGAACCAAAAGTATGTGTCCACTTATGTTAGTACATATTAAAAGTTTTACTATAATTATTTATTTATTTTTGGTAACCAATGTAATTAGGGCCTTTGAGTCTCTAATAGGATCTTGATCTATCTTCATAAATTTTAATTCATAGTCGAATACTTAATCACACGTAAAATTCATTGTTCTTCTAAAAAAAATATATTATATGAGAATCGAATAAAAGTTCACTCTCACATACTCGGTGGAATTTGTTAATTCAATTATACTTATTGGATTTGCAAGTATTTTTTTTAAGAGTGTTTCGCGAGGAATTTAAAGAGTTTATAAGTTTCTTATAAGTTTACAAGTTCTTTTAACCAAAATAAGTTTGTTTAGTATGTGAACTTATTTTAAGAGTCTATTACTCATTTTCATAAGTTAATTGAAAATAACTTATAACTTATTCTTTCTTTTTTCATAATCATTAATTTACTTGAAATATTTTTCTTATCCATTTTAATTTAGAAATTATTTTGTCTAGATGTTAGTCTTTCAATCTTCTAATTAAATAAATATATTTCAATCTTCTAATTAAATAAATGAATTCATTATTTTATATCAATCAATTAAGTTATTAACTAATCTTATCATATACTTTCAATCCAATCAATTAACTTACAATATTCAATTTTTTTTTACTCGTAACTTATATCTAATAAATTTGTACATAACTTACAAGTTCATTTTATTAAACATGTTATTTAACTTTTAGATCTTAAAATAGCGAAAA